TACAGCTCTGTGGAGTAGAACTGTATTTTGTTAAAAACCAGTATTTTGTTACTGCTTTTCAAATTGTTTCAAAGATAAATTATTACTTTGATGTTTCTCTATATTTAGGTTAAATATTTACAGAGTCATCTAATTAACAAATCACTATAGTTTAATAAGAGGATGTCCAACATTTAAGCACAAACCTTTAACGACTGCTCGTCAGCAATTGTTTTTAGAGTTTAGGCTCCTATTAAACACTTCTCTATTCAAACAGAGTTTATCAAACAGAATGAGTCCAGTAAAATTAAAGCCTGTTTAATAATTAATATTATTTGAATGAGGTTTTATTAATGCTTTAATTTTAAGCTTTAGTTCATTTTGAATAAACGGAGTTGATTAAACTTTGTTTAAGTTTGAGTTGAGAGCTGAAATGCTTAAAAATGTATAGATTGGTTAAATTAATTTTTTGAAGCGTTTAATTCCTTTTAAAACCAGCAGATATAGACAGTTTCAAGAATGACACTTCAATCTGATTTAACCGGCAGAATGACAGCTAGACGTCAACGCGGCGGTTGACGGACCAGTGTCAGCCTATCACAGAGCGTCTAATGCAGGGAGTCCCGCCTCCCTTGCTCCACTCTGCAAGAAAATGGCTGCCAGTTTTTTTTTTATAACGCAGCTCAGCATTGCGCACGAGCTGTGCGTATATGAAACAGCTTTGTGGAATGAAAATTCACAGTAGTTAAACAGAGTTTAAACACAGCATTTCAAAATCAACCAGCAGTAGTTTTCTGACCACGCCAGCAGATAAAACAGCTTCTTTTTTTAGCTTGCCGAGGTGAACACGGGCACGCGGTGGCTGAGAAGTTGAGCCTGCGCGCTCCCGTTTCTCCACTTGTGGCTCGGACTGTTGAGCTCCGTGGTTACAATCCTGTTAAGTTTGCCTTAAAACACACACCGAGTTCTCAATGTGGCTAACGACACTTTTTTACAGGTAAACAGCGCTTAGCCGTCAATCTGGACGACTCGTTCGAGTTTTTCCGTCCAGGAGTAGCCTGGAGCTATCTCTCGTTAGCTCAGAGTTGCTACTTTCACTTCTCACATTAATTCACAATGAACGTAGTGTAACACTAATAAGTGGCCAACTTATTAAGATGTTAGCGGAGTGTGGTTATATAAAAATGTGTATTGTAGGGACACGCGTACAAACACTATATATAACCAACCAGATTAATAAATACACCTGTTAAGATGTTTCTAATACTGGCTTTAGGATCCTTAATAAAATGTTATACAGACAACATGCATGCAAATAAATCATAAACTGGCTTCCACAGCGCAGATTATGGATTTAAAAATAGCTTTCCGCTATAATGAGAGAGAAAAAGCGACTAGCTCTAGGTCTGACGTCATAACCTTGAACAGCCGTGAACAGCTTATTTTCAGCAATAATTAATGTTTCAGACGTGTTTATAACTTCAAAATGACAGAAAACGACAAAATCTGCAGTTTTTTGCTATTCTCTGAGCACCAATCAGCCATAAAAAGTCTTATAATAACACTTTGTCTATTGCCAACATGAAGATAAACAGTGTTTTTCCACAGTGCACAGAAGATAATATTTTCATGAGAAAAATATTACGAGTTACCATTAAAAATGGACCCGTACGGTGCCACCAATATGTAAGAGTGAACTTAAGCTGAATTAAGCTTGTCCCACATCTCTCATACACAAGGTTATGAGGAAACTTTTACCAAGGTATTTCTCATTACTTGTTAATTTCGTGACTGTGCGAAATGAAAAGTACACAATAAGTGAACGTTCAGACGAGTTCAAGTTGATTCATAAAAGACTATGCGATCATTGATTTACACAAATTGAACAGATCATAAGTTACTCTTGATTGTGGTTATTCCTATAACAAGCGTCAGAGTTGAATTAGATAAAACCCGCGTCCGAATTTCAATTCACATCAACTCAGATTACTTWTATAGAACAGTAAAACGTCACTTCTGATGTTAACAACCAAACAATTTTACTGGCACTTTTAGCTTAAGTTTTGGCAAATTAAGAACAAGGAAAGGAGGAAAGTAAGATTAGCGTGTTACTACGACTTTTACTTTTATCAAAGTGTAGGTCAACCGGAACTGCACGTCTTTTCTAAGCTCAGGTTCCACATGACACGTCACTCCGAACACATCAGCTTTTACCTGATGATGGCTTCTTAAGGCACCCTCGGGGTAAGAGCTGGCTTGCCTCCCATCAGTCAGGGAACTGATGTTGGCTTGTTTACCGGTCATTGGCGAATAGGTGTTTTTCCAGGTAACTTTCATCTGTTTCAGTCCAAGCCAGAAAAATTCAAGCCATATCTGGTTCCTCCTTCCAAAATAAAAACTACCCTCAGGAGTTAAAAACACACTTAGAGGCTCGGCCTCGGGTTGAGACCACCGGCAGGTGTGCCGGGTCCCTGGCTGTGAAGTCTTCCCTAATTAGCTCATGGGATCAGACTTAAAGCCAAACCTGAAGTTTCTCCGGAGAGAATCCCAGCTGTCTTCCTAGGTTGGAATCAGAATAAAGAGTGTCGCTCAAAGCCGTCCGGGTTAGTAAAAGAAATGGATAAACTTTTGTTCTGCCCTCAGGCTTAGAGA